TTCGTTCAATTACCACATTGCAAACATGTACTTAGTTGATTTCAGTAGAGCTGGCAAAACAGCAAACATTTGCTCTGAACATAATGTTTGCTCGGTAGTTAAGTAGAAACGTAGCATTGACGAACATTTTCGATGCAAGCTGTGAGCTCAATAGAATCATAGCCAAACAGTATTTATTAATTACTTAAAATCATATACCTACTTAAATAAGAAAGTGTATCCTTTGCAGAGTTGACAGGTCTGAGATCTATAGAGGTATAAAAATAAATTCATATTTCCCTTTGCAATGCGATAAGTTGTTTACGAGCGAATTCTCTGTAGAAGATTCTTACCGAAAAGAAGTAAATATGAAAAGAAAATATTACTAGAAAAAAATCCACGGTGTTCTAACCCGCACTCTTCGTTTCCCGGGCGAATGCACTGAGCATTACGCTACCGCGGCTCTGATGGCAGTGTCGATTTTTTTCTAGCATTTCTTAGGCTGCCAGGCAGCTCTGCGTCTGATGCCTGGTCCACGTGGTTGTTTTTCTAGTAGAATTTTCTTTAGATTTAAACGTCTAGAGGTTAAAGGCTTATAAAAATATGTATTAGAAGTTAAAAGTTACGCGGAAAATTAGAAATTTTAAGAAAAGAACTCTAAGCTGTCTATGGCGGCCTGTCTCAAGTACCTAAACTTCTTCCATCTCTTCAATTAATACTCCCTCAGAAACCAAAATTTAAAAAAAAACGTGTAACGATGAACTTTTTTATCTATATATATATATATAAAACTCAAAGGTGACTGACTGACATAGTGATCTATCAACGCACAGCCCAAACCACTGGACGGATCGGGCTGAAATTTGGCATGCAGGTATATGTTATGACGTAGGCATCCGCTAAGAAAGGATTTTGATCAATTCTACCCCCAAGGGGATAAAATAGGGAATGAAAGTTTGTATAAAACTTTGTCAATTTTAAACCGATCGGGCTGAGACTTTGCATGCAGGTATAAGAAGAATCATAGATGAATGTCATTGTGTATAATACAAGCCTGAGAACAAAAACTGTAGTCTACACTTCAGCTCTACACCGAAGCGAAGCGAGGGCGGGCCGCTAGTCGGTAAATAAGCTCAATTTCAGAAAATCCTTTCTTGATCGTTAAAAGAAATGTTTTAAAGCAAAACCCGGAATCTACATTAACTCCAGTCAGTCCATGTAAGTAAATCTATTTTTAATTCTTTAAATCTGTTTGATCCTTTTATAGAGCGCAGTAAGAGGAATAGAAACCTGTTCGTAAGTGATACACTTACCGCATGCATATCCGTTGCGTTAATAGGTTCTCGTCATAGCATATGACTAATCTAGAAGGACATTAAATATGATGTGCTCTATGATAACTATAATTGATTATAATTAAGATTTCAAGATTTAGATTTAATGGTGGTGTGGAATCTGGCATGGTTTTCTAGACCTGCGAATACCCTCTAAGCTGCTTACCGCGAAGCCGCGGGATCCCCGTTTAGGGATTCTTCCGCGTCTTCGTATTTTGCCTAAACAGCAGGACTCGGCATTCCTAAACTTTGTTAAACCAGTTTTTTATATAGTCATAATTTTTATTATATTAGCATTTGTAATGGAAAGTGACTTTATGAGTTACCTCATATTGAAGTCATTTTTCAATTTAACGACTCTGTATACAATACAGGGAGAAAAAAACAGCCCTTGCTGAGTTTCTTGCCAGTTCTTCTCAGTACAAGGTCTCCCGCCGTAGATTTGCGAACCGATGGCGTAGCTTTTCGACATTCACAAGTGCTTGTAACAGCCTAGACTGAATAAACGATATTGAATTTTGAATTTTTAGCAGCCTCCTGGCCTAGCCGGCTCCACGGCAGGGGTCTCGCGGGGACCCCGCAGACGTGCGCAGGATGCATGTGTCCTACCGTTGTGTTTATAGTTTGCTATAATAACGTCATCATCATCATCATCATCAGCCTATTAATGTCCCGACTGCTGGGGCACAGGCCTTCCCTATGGATGGAATAGGGAGATTGGGCCATGACCCACCACGCGGGCCTAATGCGGATTGGCGGGTGCTAACGACTGCAGATGCAGCCGGGGCCAACGGCTTAACGTGCCTTCCGAAGCACGGAGGAACTCGAGATAGAAGATTTTTGGTCACCCATCCAATGACCGACCACTGCGAAAGTTGCTTAAGTTCAACGATCGCAGCCGGACGCGCTAACCACTTGCGCAATCGAGCTCCTCATGCATAATAACGTACACGGGTACTAATATTTATTTTTTTATGTTTTTATTTATTTTTAAGCATTTAACTGCTAGATGTTTAAATCTAAAAAAAAGTTTTACTAGAAAATAATCCACACGGACCAGGCAGCGGACGGGACTCGAATCCACACTACAATGCGAAAAGATGGCGTTGCCTTGCAGCTTAAGGCTAGGAAAATTTGGACGCGGCCATCAGGGCCTTGGTAGCATAATTGGTCAGTGCATTTACCCGGATTGCGAAGGGTGCGGGTTTGAGTCCAGTCCGCTGCCTGGTCAGCGTGGATTATTTTCTAGTAAAACTTTTCTTTAGATTTTTTTTTCTATTTTCAACATAGTATCCATATGAGGTTGTGAGTAGTCATGCTCTCTTAAAAATCTCTTCGGGGGTGTCGTGTGAGGAGGGTCGTTGCGTTCCCTAAAAAATGGTTGAGCGAAGCGACGGCTGGTTCATGCGTCATGCTCGTGAACGGGCGCTGCCGGCGGAGATGAGTCTGCTCTTGCTACATTAGGTATTATTTATCGTTGCATTTAACTTTAATCGTACATTTTTTTTATGGCTAAGCAGTAGGACAGGGCATTCCTAAACTTTGTTAAATCACTTTTTTATATTTTTTACTTTATAGTCAACATTTTTATATTATATACATTTGTAATGGAAAGTGACTTCATGAGTTACCTCATATTGAAGTCGTTTTTCAATTTGACGACTCTGTATATAATACAGGGAGAAAAAAACAGTCCTTGCTGAGTTTCCTGCCGGTTCTTCTCAGTACAAGGTCTTCCGTCGTAGATTTGCGAACCGATGGCTTTTCGACATTCACAAGTGCTTGTAACAGCCTAGACTGAATGAACGATATTGAATTTTATATTATATGTACCTACTTAAAGGAAAAATGAGGAGCTCGATGGCGCAGGTGGTTAGCGCGTTCGGCTGCGATCGTTGAAGTTAAGCGACATTCGCAGTGGTCGGTCATTGGATGGGTGGCCAAAAATCTTCTATCTCGAGTTCCTCCGTGCTTCGGAAGGCACGTTAAGCCGTTGGTCCCGGCTGCATCTGCACTAGTTAGCACCCACCAATCCGCACTGGGCCCGCGTGGTGGATCATGACTCAATCTCCCTATTCCATCCATAGGGAAGGCATATGCCCCAGCAGTGGGGACATTAATAAGCTGATGATGAAGGAAAAGCACCAGAAGGAAATGATCCGTTATTCGAGACGGTACCATCCATACCAATCGTTCCGCCTCGTTAACGGGGCATTTGGGAAAATTGATTCATGGACACCGGTAGCCTCAACCCCGTCGTTGACCGGGGTAGATGGCACAGATCAAGTATCATCCACCCCGGTTTGTTACCACCGTGGAGGTTGCAACAGATTCAGTAGCATAGGTTGACTTCACATTATCCCTTTTTTCAGCTTTTTCGTTTTTTGGAGTTATACTTCTTTAGGCGCGTTATGAAAAAATGATGAGAGTGAAATTTTAAGATGCGCGCGCATCACTGTAACACAAAAATTAACAGCATGAAGTTGGTCGCTTACTTTTATGTTTACCGCACATTAAGAAAATCTACCAACAAAATAGAAATAGAATCTCTATTTAGTGGGTGCTAACGACTGCATTGTGAAGGCCTATCAAAAGTATTTATTAATCTGGAACAACGGAACCAAAGCACGATTCAGGAGACTACAGCGCCATCTCTTGACCATTGGTGTAGTAGAACCAAAAACCACATCTTTATTTTTTGTAATAAAGTAACAGTTATAGGTATTCATATTTATAATATTTATCCACATGTTTCTAGTTTGTATATTCGGAATACGTGTTTGAGTTTCATACAAGTGCAAATCACATATGTTCTAATAAATTATATTCAGTAGCGATTTTAATTGAATATTTTGATTATTTATTTATTTTTTCAAATTAAAACTGAACTTTATTGACTGTGTCCTTTTCCAGACTTTTTATTAATTTATTGTAATTAATTATTTGCATGCAATTAAAAACTAATTTTAAACGATGCCAAAGAAGGATAACTTCTCACGCGCCTACATAAGTACACGCACCCATTTTTTCATAAGTATCAGATATCTATATATATAAAATTCAAAGGTAACTGACTGACTGACATAGTGATCTATCAACGCACAGCCCAAACCACTGGACGGATCGGGCTGAAATTTGGCATGCAGGTAGATGTTATGACGTAGGCATCCGCTAAGAAAGGATTTTGATCAATTATACCCCCAAGGGGATAAAATAGGGAATGAAAGTTTCTATGAAACTTTGTCAATTTTAAACTGATCGGGCTGAGACTTTGCATGCAGGTATAAGAAAATCATAGATGAATGTCATTGTGTATAATACAAGCCTGAGAACAAAAACTGTAGTCTACACTTCAGCTCTACACCGAAGCGAAGCCAGGGCGGGCCGCTAGTAATTTATAAAGAAACAAGAGTTCGTTTTATAAGATAAAAGATCGTATGTACGAATTTACATTGTGTTATTTGTAACCTTATTCATTTGTGAAGGAGTTGTTATTAGGTTCAACTTAAACTGTTTTAAAACATATTTATCTTTGTTCATTGGGAATCGAATGTAGATGCATAAGTTTAAACATACGCAGACAGTTTTTAGCTATGATTTTGTATGAACCCGTTACATATAGAATTGTTGATCGAAGGGTCAAATTAAAGGGATAAGTAGACAGAACTAATAAAATAAAAAAGAAAGAAAATACCAAAAATAAATAAAATATTACCACTTCTTTATAAAGTATTTTTAATTTAATTAAATAGAAAATCGATGTCAGTCATAAATTACGTTATATCAATAATGTTTAAAGTATCTCCAAACTTATTCAAGACAATTTAAAATTTCAACATTCGGTATACAACACACTCACGCTTAATAAATACTCAATACAGACAGACATTAAATACAAACACACGCCACTTATAAATATGTTCACGTTTACAAAGAAAATATCCTTTTCCATAAACAGGTTCCATAGCAAATATCTATCTATATTAACTAACAATATACCTATACTGTTTTAGCAACTTAGCATTTCATTAGAGATTATTATTTTCATTTTACTAATAACAAACCCCCTTCAAGAATAGTCTCGCAAAAATGTTTGACCTTTCATTTACAGTCGCTGTGTTTCTTATTTTTGACGTCCCCATTACATAGGTCATTGGTGAATAGAATAATTTAACAGAATATAAAAAAGTTCACTGGCCAGACTGACACTCTCAGATTACGTGTTTTATTTTTTGAGTGTCTATGCTGTTGGTCGCAGATGACCTTTACAGCGTCACCGGGTTTGGGGACGGCGAGATCCTAAGGGGACCTCAAGCCGAGAATTGGCGAGTGTCTCTGGAGGTATTCCAGGCGGATGGCGTCTTCCCACGGGGGAAGTCGCCTCTCCATCTGGAGCCTCCAGACCACTCGAACCTGAGGGGGTACGTCGTTGTATAATTACTAAAATTCCCTAACTCTAGTCTTCCCTGTCTCATTTTTGTCAAGACCAAAGACATCTCTAAACGTGAACATCCCCAAGCTTCCAGAATCACAACATCACTCTGTTTCATTATCATCACTATCAGGCTCAACTGTTGTAACTGCCGTCGTATTAGTCTGTGCCGGCTCGCTAACTGACTCAGTTGTTTCCTCAACGGCAGCTGCTTCCGTAGTCATGTTGTCAGGAATCTTCTCACAGTTCCTGCCGCTGACGCCGGCGGGACACTGGCACCGGTAGTGGCCGTCGTTGGCTTCCAAAGATTGGCATTTCCCACCGTTCTTGCACGTATCATTATTCTTTTCGCAGTAGTTCAGCTCTGAAACAAAGGAATAACGCATTTATTAGTAAGTTATTTGAAATCCCGACCAACGTGAGTGATTTTAATACCTCTTTATTTGTAAACAAAATGTTAGAAAATAATAATAAGTACTCGTATTTATTTGCTCCAAAAAATACATAATTACAAATACAAAAACTTAAAGTCTGATATACAAACTTTTTGGGAACAAAAAGTGAATGTGACTCAGCCTTAGACCGCCGTTTTATCGGAAGTCGCTGATATTCTGCCACAACCTTATTTAACTAAAACATGCTCCATTTTGTGATACCAACAAGTAAAACTTTGAAAATCGATTAAAAAAATTAATACATCCATTATTAAATATCTAAATTAAATACAGTTTTGGCCGCAGTATACTGTTTAGATAAACAGTGGTGTCAATTCTGGCAGCATTCTCTAAACTTAAAACTAAATTTAATATCAGTCTGTCCTTTTTATTCTATATAGAGAATGACAAGGATACACTTGTCAAATTTAAGTTTAACTTTAGAATATCGTGCCAGAATCGACAGCAATATAACTACAATTTACATTTATTTTTATAATTATATGTTGACATTGAAATGTTAGTCCGCAAAGGTGGTGGGAGATCATTCCATATCTTTGATGCGGCATATACAAAGCAACCCCTAGTTACAATATTTTTGCATTTCGGTAGTGATAGGAAAAGCCCAAGGTCACACAAATTTGAACGTTTCTTCCATTGAAGTTTTTTTATGTAAATATGGTGGTAAGGTTGTTTTGAATAATGACATCATATTGTTTACTCTAGGTACCCTACCCGTTCAATCTCTTTGCGGATGCGCGGCCAATGGAACAGAGTACCGCATATCACACGCACTCCTGACGCGCATTATGGGGACTGCATCCTCAGAATGCGCGCCAGGTGACCGGTGCAGGAGTATTGTCTGGTTTTTAGTGGCCCTTTTCAGGTAGGTAGTCCCTGTACACTTCAACGAGCCTTAGGGCTGGCTGAAGTGGGCAGGGAGGAGTCCCACATACCTTCTTCCCGCTCCACCAGTGGTTGAAGGATGCGTAAAGTATTTCCCAGACACAAAAAACAAAAGGTAGTCTACCCACCCGTTAGGGAGCGGACGACACTTATCTTTTATATATTAAGTGTACTTATGGCTTTAATTATTAAAATTATTAAAAGGAAGACACTTCAACCAGGCGCGGTCCGAAGGGGAGGGTCACAGGGGACATGACACCCCCCCCCCCCCCCCAATCTAAGATCAAATTGAAAAATCTCAAAAATTTGCCAAATAATAAAAGACAATTTCTAGCTATCCCTTAACAGCGATAAATTTATAGTTTGCTGACAAATCTAGTGGTGTTTTTATGAACTACGTATGATGGCCAAAATAACTTGGAAATGACATCTAGTACTAGTTTAGAAACAAGGAACCGAACTAGGTAGCATTGGTAATTCTAGCAAAATCGACTTGCGTCGATCATCGCAATAATGTTTATTTTATTCCAGATACCCTTTTTTCTTCTTTTTAATAATGTAGTGAGTGACCCCCTCCAAAATTTCAGGCTGCGACCGCGCCTGATTTCAACTGTTCTACATCAGAACAAAAACTCATTGGTCTACCCCTAAAAAACGAAAACAGATAAATTCTCCTTTCAAAAATGCTTAGGGTATTAGATTTCTCATTACCAGTATACTATTATTATACTAGGAATTTAGGTAAACGATCCTTCTTTTTATATTAATTAAAAGGAGCATTGCATTTTGGCTCGAAACATCAGACTAGTGAATGTTTGAGTAAACCAGACAGGCAAAAAGTTGAACGCTTTTCCTTCGCCGTGCTTATTTGGTAATTACACCGGGTTAATGTATACAGGAAGTTGCCTGCAGTACCTTATGCCGTAAGAAACGAGACGCTTACATTACAAAAAGGAATCTTGTCGCGGTTACGGATTTACTGTATAATTTGGTGAGTTAAGCCTTTTAAGCTACCGGAAATTTTAGCATAATGACCTATTTTTTCCTTATATTAAATCAAAAAAGACTTTTTCCTAAATCATTAGATTAGGATGATGATAATGAGTATGCTAGGCTTAAACGTGCTAGTTGTAGGCGTAGAATCCTCAAATATTGCCATATTTTTTAAAGTATAAAAGCACTATTTATTTTCTTAGGGCGCGATTCCTGATGTCCATTTTAAATCATTTTTTTGCATTCTTAAAATATCAGAATTCTATGGTGAACACTGAGCCTACTTTCATCGCACAGCAGCATGCAGGGCTGCTCGCAGGAGCCGTGCACGCACCATACTCTTAAAAATGTCCTCATGATGTCCCTAAAGTCAATCTTTAGTGTATTGTGTTAGAGACCAACCTTCGTCGCACAGCATGCCGCCCCAACCGCCCCAGCCGGCCTTACAGATACACACCCAAGGCAACTCGCAGGTTCCGTGCACGCAGCCCGGGTAATGTGACACTACGCGCAGGAGGGGCCCGTCCAGCCCACTTTGCATGATGTCTCTAAAGTCAATCTTAAGTGTATTGTGTTAGAGACCAACCTTCATCGCACAGCATGCCGCCCCAGCCGCCCCAGCCGGCCTTACAGATACACACCCAAGGCAACTCGCAGGTTCCGTGCACGCAGCCCGGGTAATGTGACACTACGCGCAGGAGGGGCCCGTCCAGCCCAATTTGCATGATGTCTCTAAAGTCAATCTTAAGTGTATTGTGTTAGAGACCAACCTTCGTCGCACAGCATGCCTCCCCAGCCGGCCTTACAGATACACTCCCAGGGCCGCTCGCAGGTTCCGTGCACGCAGCCCGGGTAATGTGACACTACGCGGAGGAGGGGCCCGTCCAGCCCAATTTGCATGATGTCTCTAAAGTCAATCTTAAGTGTATTGTGTTAGAGACCAACCTTCGTCGCACAGCATGCCTCCCCAGCCGGCCTTACAGATACACTCCCAGGGCCGCTCGCAGGTTCCGTGCACGCAGCCCGGGTAATGTGACACTACGCGGAGGAGGGGCCCGTCCAGCCCAATTTGCATGATGTCTCTAAAGTCAATCTTAAGTGTATTGTGTTAGAGACCAACCTTCGTCGCACAGCATGCCTCCCCAGCCGGCCTTACAGATACACTCCCAGGGCCGCTCGCAGGTTCCGTGCACGCAGCCCGGGTAATGTGACACTACGCGGAGGAGGGGCCCGTCCAGCCCAATTTGCATGATGTCTCTAAAGTCAATCTTAAGTGTATTGTGTTAGAGACCAACCTTCGTCGCACAGCATGCCTCCCCAGCCGGCCTTACAGATACACTCCCAGGGCCGCTCGCAGGTTCCGTGCACGCAGCCCGGGTAATGTGACACTACGCGGAGGAGGGGCCCGTCCAGCCCAATTTGCATGATGTCTCTAAAGTCAATCTTAAGTGTATTGTGTTAGAGACCAACCTTCGTCGCACAGCATGCCTCCCCAGCCGGCCTTACAGATACACTCCCAGGGCCGCTCGCAGGTTCCGTGCACGCAGCCCGGGTAGGGGTGACACTGCGCGCATGAGGGGCCCGTCCAGCCCACCTTGCAGCGGCACTCGCCCGGCCGCCGGCAGTAGCCGCGCTCGCTGTGGCACCCGGGCGTGCAAATAGCTGCAATAACATCATATTATATCATTACTAGCTGACCCAGCGAACTTCGTACCGCCATAAAAATAGGGGCAGGTGGTAGAAGAGAAAATTTAGGGTTGTGTGTATATTTTAATACCACATTATAAAAATAAAACATTGTCCAAAAAAATTTTAAGGGGTGTGTAACGTAGTGTTCTATCAATTTCCTGTGACATTCCTTCTAACCCATATGAGAACACTACGTTACAATACCTAATAGTTTGAATTTTGGCGCGAAGGCGCATTGTAGGTTTCGGAACGCCACGTTACAGGTGGACAACCATTATCACTTAAGGATATGACAAATAGATAGTAGCCGATTTTCAGTTCAGACCCACGGAAAATGCATATAAAATTTCATAAAAATCGATCAGGCCGTTTCGGAGGAGTATGGTAACTAACATTGTGACACGAGTATTATAATAAGATTAAAGGCGATTCACATCAAGGAGATCTATGACCCAAGTGGTTCGCGCGATCATGGAAATTAAGCAACTTTAACAAAGGCCGGTCTTGGAATAGGTTACCCGCGTGGTCCTTCGTGCTTCCTCAGGCAGGTTAAGTCATTGGTCCCGGCTGCATCTGCAATCGTTAGACCCACCGATCTGCACTGGGTCCGCGTGGTACGTCATGGGCAAATCTCCCTATTCCATCCATAGGGAAGGCCTGCGCCCTAGCAGTGGGGACATTAATAGGCTGATGATGATGATAATGAAAGCCGAGTTACACGACAAAATTGTGTAGTGCAAGCTTTTGCACAAACAAAAGTATGTACAGTTCCCATCTTCCACACGGATTTTTTGTGTATGAACAGGCATCTCCAGATACAGACAGCCACAGATGATGATCCAAAACTATTCATTTTCTCCAACCAACCTTGAGCTTTATCTTGCACAAGCGTATGCCCGGCATATATAACCTCGTTAAAATTACATACATAATCTGCCAAGTGTACTAACGACTTACGAAATAATTAAAGATCTCACTTATCTATGGTTATCTGAGATTTCTACGACCATTTCATACCACGTTTCACTAGCTCAGTAAGATTGTATACCAGGAAAAAGCTTTCGCATTCTTCCGAACATTCCTGATTTACGATGTAGGTAACTGGGTACATTCATAATTATGTAGATACTAAACTAGCGTCATAAACTTTCTAGATTTCCCAGAGAGACTGCTTTTGTTGACCGTAAGCGTACCAAGAATTTGCATTTGATAAGATGAACAATCGAGGCCACCACACTGGTTATACTAATAGCGCTTTTATTAAACCGCATAAAAAGAGCAGGAATTTTCAATATTAAGTAGTATTCTTGATTACATACTAATACCTAAGGCCCATTAACACTACAAAGCAGTGATATGCTCAAAATGTAGGGTCCGACCAAAACTGGTTTTCCGGCCGAAACCGAAACTCACGTGGTCAATATTAAAATTCCTTAAAATACAGAAATTTGGTGCATTTTACCCATTATTGAGCATTAATTAGGACATGAAATGGAAACACCGTATATTAATTTTGTTGTAGGTAATCATTTATTAAATATAATAGAAAAAAATATTAATTATATTTTATCATAGCTAAATTTTTATCAGTTATCAATAATCAATTCACAAATTGTTACTGTTTCATTAAATACCCATTGGTATTTTGAAATCGTATTAATTAATACTTTCGTTTGTATTTGTACTTAGAAGAATCATCGATCTCTTTTATCTCAATATAGGAAACTGCACTTCTCGATATAGGATATGGACTGCTGTGCAAGAAACGAAGTACAGCTAGCGTGCACGACAACTTCCGAAATCAGTTTCGGTTTCGGCAAAAATTTCAAAAATTTGAAACCGAAACTGCCGCCGAAACTTAATTTTGGCCGAAACTCGGCCGAAACCGTAACCGAACTATCGGTCGGACACTATCAAAATGCAATGTAAGTGAAAGTTATCTACAATATAGAGTGATTCAAAATTAATGGCGGTTCTGAAGTTAGTGCAAATGCGGCGTAATAATGGTACTTGCTCATAGCTGCACTTGTTACTAACTTCACTAGCGCCATAAAGTTACAACCGTTCTTTCATTACTACTTGACACAAGTGTATGACACAGCAGGCTGGTATACCCAAAGGAACACTTGCACTCCAGCCGTTTGTCTAAGTGCCCGTGATGCCAGCCCTGTCAATAGATTCTCATTCACTCGTCTAACAAAATAGGTTGGTGTATCACAGATCTCTCAACGCATATTTGTGGTACCCTTTTTTCATATCCATGGACAGCTGTAATCACTTTGTGGACTGTCAACTCGTTCGCCTGCATAAACATAAAACAATCTTGAGAACTTGCACTCCGTTCTGGCAGCATGGCAACAATACAATCTAATTCACGCGTCTGAAACAGCAGGTCCTTGTATCCATGAGAACACTTGATATCCGGCGTTTAGTCGCATTACCCGTGTTGGCAGACTGACAGTAATATAATCACTAATGCGTCTGATACAGTATCCTAGTATATCCAGGAGGACTCCAGCAGTTGGTTGGCAATGTCCATGCTGGCACCCTGGTAGGGGCTGGCACAAGCGATCATACTTTGCTGCAAATGTCCCGCTTACTCTACGTAGGTGGAAGATAACGAACGAATTCTCCTCGATGGCCGCGTGGTTGATGATGATTGTTAAGTCATTTGTGGTGAGTGTGCCAACTGAACATTTAGAGGCCAATATGAAGGAGGAGCTCTGGTAGATAGGTATTGTACGCCAGTGGCTCAAACGTAGCTAATAGAATAAATAAGGATAGTTTGTTTTTTCTCACGCGTCTGACACAAATGCCTGTGTGTGTAGGAGAACAATTGCACTCCAGCGGTTTGTCGTAGTACCAGTGCTGGCAGCCTAGTAGTGACATTTGAATCTAACATTAATAGATTCTGACTCACGCGTCTGTCACAGCACACCCTTGTATCAGGAAAGCACTTGCAATCCAGCAGTTTGTCTTAGTACCCGTGCTAGCAGCCTGGCAGCAATATAATCACTCACGTCTCTGACACAGTACTCTTGTGTATCCAGGAGGACTCCAACAGTTTGTTGGTAATATCCGTGCCGTGAGCACCTTGGTAGGGGCTGGCAGGAGCGATACCTATGCTGCAAGTATCCAGCTAACTCTACGAAGGTGGGAGAGATTGAGCAAATTCTTCTGGATGTTCGCGTTATTGAAGATGATTCTTAATTCATTTGTGGTGAGAGTGCCAACCGAACATTTAGCGACCTACATGAAGGAGGAGCTCTGGTTAAACGTCGCTAATAGAATAAATAAGGATACTTTGTTTTTACTCACGCGTCTGACACAGTAGGCCTGTGTATCCAGGAGAACACTTGCACTCCAGCGGTTTGTCGCAGTAGCCGTGCTGGCAGCCTGGCAGCGGCTGGCAGGCGCGGCAGGTGGGACCCGACCAGCCGAGCCGGCAGCGGCACTCGCCCGGAGACTCGCAGTAGCCGCGCGTCGCGTGGCAGTCGGAACGACAGATCGCTAGAAACGAACACAAAAAATAATACCGTATTCCTACAGATAACCTTGTAATTTTCTAGCCATGCGGTGTTTCTGTCCATATTATCTCTTTTCAAACGATCTGATCTGACCTGTGGGTTTGCAAAAAGATGATAATATTGATACCCTTTTTATCGACAAGGCATTTCATAAATTTTAAAAAACTAAGCAAAAAAAATTTATGGTAAGCAAACATTTCATTTGAGTACGGTATTAAGTAATAAGTATGCGATGCGTAACTTTAATCATTTTTGCTTAATAGTATACTAAAGTTAGTTAAAGTTAGCGTTAGTCGCTCGAATAGTAAGATTAAGATGGCCACTTGTCTAAACGCCCCTGATTTCATTATTTGCCTCAGAACTTTAATGAAAACGTCAAAAACCACTTATACGTAACTGTCAAAGTTATAGTGAATCTCTGTATCATATCCTTGTCTTCTGATATTATTAGCGGTCTGATTAAGATACATAGTTCGTGTAATATCTTACGTTCAGAGCAGAAGAGTCCGTCCCAGCCCTCCTTGCAGATGCACTCGAAGGAGACGTTGCAGGAGCCGTGCTGGCAGCCCGGCAGCGGGATACACTTGTTGCACCTCTCACCGTAGAAGCCGAGCTTGCAGCGACACTCGCCCGGCCGTTTGCAGTACCCTACATTTGCAATGACATGTGGATTAAATACATAGAGCAACACGGAAGGGATATCGTCAATTTCGATAAATATCAATATATATTTAGGCGTCGATATATCGTTATTTATCGGTTTTACGATATATCGTTGCATACCTAAAAACAACATCGTAACTCACACATAAACAATGACGACACTCACACATAAACAATGACACAATACATTGCCTAATCCAACACACATGTATCATTTATATGCCCAACTCGACAGAAGGGGAAAGCTATGTATGCCGAATCGGCGGTGTTGCTTTATGGTTAAATTGTGCCAATGACATTAGGGGATTTGCTACAAACGCCACGCTTAATAGGCGGTTTGGTGATCACAGTAGAGCTTAGATTAATTGATGAAAAAAATTAATTAAGCAGCTGGACCCGAATAGCACAGGACGGAACGAAGTGCAGATCCTTGGGGGATGCCTGTGCTTAGACGAGGGCGTCGTATGACTGATTCATATTGTTCAAACGGGTTTCATATAAAACATTATACTTCAGTTTTGATCAAAGTACTTCGACGTACTACCTACGAGTTCTGCTGTAAAACTACTGGGAACAAAAAAGTAAAACTGAATAAGTATCTAAAGAATTTTTTTCTAAGAAAAAAACAATTTCTCAGATGTGGCTGGATCCGAACTTGCATCTTTCGCAATCCGGACCAAGCACTGACCGCTTTGTGTTGCTACCATATAGCTCGATACCGTGGATAGGTTGATTTATTTGTAGCATAATTTTCTTTACATTCAAAAAGTTTATTATTTAACTTAAAATCAAATAAAATAGGTAATTGCATATAAATAAATATTCTGTGATAGGTGCTTCTTATTATTTCATTAGAAAACTGTATAGAAAAAATATTTGAAAATTCAAGAAACCGTATAATACAATATAAAATTATGTTTAACACCGGTTGATTATATTGGAGACAGACAATCACTTTCTAACTGTTCTGTTTGGAAGTTAAACAATTGAAGCTTTCTTTGGCACTAACGACTACATCACGCTGAGCGCTTTCATTTTGAAAGTGTGTTTGAGTTGGCATTATTTTCTGAATGAATTATGTATTCCTTGCCCAAATATGTTTATTTCCGTACGTGGATCTTTTCTTCATTCACATATTACCTATTATTTATTACTTTTTTTTTAATATTTTTTTTGTTCTATGGCTGTTTCCGTTTTACACAGAAATTACGCCGATATCCCGTAGTGACAGATTAATGTAAAAGTCTCTACGCGAGACCAATTATTCATCTTTAAGTATAAGTTATAATTTTTATTATGACTTTAGTATGAAATGACAGTTAACGTTAAAGAAAAATTGTTGCAACTCAGACTTAGTTATAAATTTCTATTTCGTGTTGAATTTTATCACCAGTTGCAGCTTTCTTAATAAGTTAAATAAAACCAATTAAATTTAACTCCCTCTCCTTCAAAGTTAGTGTTGATATGACAACTTTACTTATGGTTACCCACTATGAAATGAAAGATGTCAAGAAAAGCAAGTTGCAAGTATTATAAATTCCTGTCGGTGTACTCCCGAGCTTCACGATTGGATGATTCAACAGTGGCAAGGCAAAATTGTCACTTTTGTCTAAAATTAGTTATAATATCATGTCAATCATTTTTATGGTTCTGCGTCGATCTTTTTATATTTCGTGAAGATTTGAATACTTTTAGGCGCTTATGCAACTCAATTTTTGAAGATTCTTATTGTTCAATACACTGAAGTGACATAAATTTTGGTGTTTTTTGAACCTATGCAATGGCGCCACTTTGGCGTATGATTTGAAGTTTGATTGACAAAAAATGTATGAGGGCCAAGTGATTTTCGCTTTAGCGACATCTAATGCTTAAAGGCACTACGTTACTTTTTAATATAGGGGATATTTAGAAAATATTATTATATGAATATGTTTTTATTTTTATGGCGCTACTTCTCATTTATAGTGAGTTATAATTTTTTCGTGGAAAAAAAACTTTGTTCCCTATTTCTGCAAAGTTACGAAAATGTGGACGAGCAAAGCATTCACAATTTATCGGAGATCCTCCTCGTTCCTCGCGTCTTTTTCCTTATTACGTCTGGGTGCATATTGGACGGTTTTCTGATTCGGTTTCCTGATCAGGAGTTCAGATTCAGAATTCTATAAAAAAATAAGAATAGTGTGCGCCTTGTTGAACATTTTGTTTGCAAGGACGTGCATTAAGGTCTACGTATCGGAATTCCTGATTAGGAAACCGTACATATACGTCCAACCGTACATATACTAAGGTCGTGAAGGTTGAGTGTTTGTTTTTAAACAGGGCGTGACACTGACACACGTAGGACAGCTGTTTTGTCTATGATAGCGAACCGCTTACGTCGGCGTAGCTGTCAAACTTCATTGATTGGGTTGGTAGCCTTGAGGAATAGTCGATTTTTCTATTCGACTAAAATATTCGCCTTGAGACTTATAAAAAAAAAAAAAAAAAAGTAATCAGGCAGTGAATCTCTGTGGGGGCGCGTGGATGAATGGATGGAGTTTGACTTGACAGTTGTTGAATTTTGAATAGTTTTTCCCATATCGATTTGAGTCCTCCTTATCGGGTGCTGTTTTTAATCGATTTTGAATTTTACTCGAAATTGAATTTCCTCGCTGATTTGGGTAGGTATTCCCTTTTCCTCAGCTTACGGGAGCGTAGGTATATAGTTTTGAGTTTATTCTTCGGTTCGTCTCGAATGCGGCGGCTGTCTGTTTGACTGTGGCCTGAAGGGAAAGGTTGGAGTGGGAAACAAATCATAGACACATGTTTGGGAGTGGACGACCCGTCTATCATCTATGAGCAATTATCAAAACAACATTTAAAAATTTCACAATCTGTTTGTGGTACAGTTATCTTTTCTTCTGCCCAAAGTATATTATAAGGCATATTATAGTCGTCGGAGTCGTGAAATAGATCCGAAAAGTTTATATCCTGAAGGATATTGGCGGAAATAGCGCGGAGTCGCTAACCGAACTGAGTTTCGCAGGTGGACGAACACGAACCTTTGCAAGGCGTTGCAATAAGGCAGTAACTTGTGATAGGAAACAAAATACTTACGGATAGTTTCATATTTCGAACGGCTTGTACGTTCCCCTCAAGAAATACTGGAGGAATAACAAGGAGACTCTTTTTCTGTACACGGACCAGAAGGGACGCGGGAGTTTATTTGCCAGCCGCTCTCCGGTTTTATGTAACCCGGCCGTAACAGCAGACAGATTATACACAGCTAAACCTATCCTAATCAAGGTATTTCACTACTAACCCCGGGTGAGCGTGGAGAAGAACCACAAGGCGAGGTTGGACCCCGACCTACCCATTTCCATATATATACATATATCTATATAACTGGTTATCTCACGGAGAACTGGAATTAACTAAGTTTGTCACCAATATCGATCAAACGAGCCGTAGAACCTCTGAAATCCACTAAATAGCTTATTCAGTCTAGTCTATGTGGTATGTGTGGATAAAATATATTAGATATAGTTGAGAACTCATGTAAGTACATAGTAAAGTGTTATGAATGTCTGATATTCATATAATTATAACATCTCATGACAACTTGTTGGTTTATATACACTTTAACTTTGAACTACTGTATTCAGCTTAGATATTTATAATTAGTGAAACATAGTTATTATATAAATAATAAACATAGTTAGGCTTGTTGATTTATATAAGCAATAACTTAAAACTACTGAATTCCGCTGCTTTGGTATCTAAAATGGATAAAATATACTTATAACATTATCTTAATTCTTTTGGTTTTCTTTCATTGTTCCCCCGGTGCTCTGAGCGAGCTTAAAAGAGGGCAGTGGAGGAGAATATAACATCACAAGGTCGGAATATTCTGTTGTTGGCGATATTATACGCCATTTGTTCCTATCCTTGACAGCGCGAAATGTGACGTGGAGCTTCGTGTGTCATGTTGTACAGATCGCGGCACGTAACTCTAGCGCTGAACAAAACGCGGCGGGGATAGCTGGGCATATGGTGCGACTGGAGAGCCAATCAGCACAACGCACGCCCACCCGGACCAAACACTGACCGCTTTGTGTTGCTACCATATAGCTCGATACCGTGGATAGGTTGATTTATTTATAGCATAATTTTCTTTACATTCAAATGGGCATATAGTGCGACCGGAGAGCCAATCAGCGCAACGCACGCCCACCCGCGCACCTCGTTTCCCCCCAAGACATCTTAAAAGTTTACTTCTGCGCAATAACGGTCAGGGCTAGAGTAACTTGCTGTAACTTATATATAGGAGATACTCACCTTGTAAAGGGTCGCAGCCCTTCTTACAGATGGGCACGTCGCAAAGGTCGCCCTGCCACCCTGGCAGACACTTCGGCTCGCCCTTATCGTCGCAGACGTAGTGACTGTGCTCTCCCACTGTTGGCAGCTCGCACGCCTGCACCACACCGGACTTTGAAAACTAACCGTAATATGTGAAAACCTATTCTTAAATATATGATCATTGTGGTAATTTAAAGCTTGAGCAGTAGCTAGCAAAAGTAGAAAAACTAGTTTTATTTAATGAGTGATGTGCGTGAAACCTAAGAAACAAATTGTAAAATTATTTTATATTAAAAAATACGGTTTGATGTAAATAAGAAATTTTGTGTACCTATGACATTTTAATATTCATTTTGTGTATGACATTATAATACTATTAACTTGACTTTTGATTTTTAATTATTTTATTTGATGGAAATTATTAAATTTAAATTATGTAATTTATTAAATTAAATAAATGATTAGGTGTATTTTTAGTGACATTTGCCTATTTCTATAATAATTGATTATGTATTATTAATATGATTATGAGTTATGTTGCTCGAAATAAATGTTTTTTTTTTATTTATTTATTTTAAAAGCAGCAATTTTCGCACTACGTTTTTATACATTAAAGCTTTGCTCTACTACATGGCTGTGCAAATACATCATTATTAACTACCTAAGTTACAAGACAATTCAGTATCAGCCTCTGAGAATTCCTTGGTTTGTCAATTTGAAATGCAGCAGAAGGTTCATTGTAACGGCTTTAAGATTTAGTACTGGACATTATCCATCCAGAAAATATGGTTTCCCTATGAAAAAATTAGATTCATCTAATTGAGAAATTTGTTGTTGTTTGATGTTGTTGAAAATACAAAGTCCCTAGTTCCTGTTAAATCACAATCATCAGTATATGTATTCTATCTGTTACCCTAGTATCCCATAACACAAGCCTACAGTGCTTACTTTGAGGTTAGACTTATTGGCGTGAGTGATGCAAATATTTATTTTCTTCATTAATTAACTGCTGGATTTACAAATATCAAGGTATTTTTTACTAGAAAAAAATCCACGCGGTCCAGGTTTCAGTCAGAATTTTCAGCAGATACCTAATTTTCTTAAGATTTGTAAATAACGATACGATTTTTTTACCAATGACCTAAGTAATTGGATAGCGACCGCACTCTGAGAAGTTAATTAACTTTAAAGTTTCACTATAGTCACAGAATATATACACTACGCGAAAAGAAGCGACACTTAAGCATGTGTGCTCGTAAAATCGCCCGCGGCTATGTGTGGGTGTCTGGAGGTGCGCGGGGGCGTTGCGCGGCGCGCGGGGCGTGGAGAGGGCAGTCGCCGACTGCCTCGACCGAAGGCATGGCAGTAGCGAAATAGTAAAATAATAGCGTTGCACTGCATTGCACGCACAGACTGACTACGCTACGCAATCTTATTATTATTTAGATAATAATAAGAATTATAAAACGAATCGAAAAAGGAGAAAATATATAAAAGTTAGCAATTTGTTATAATACCTACATTAAAAGATTAAAAATTGATTATAAAATCAAACCTATCCTTCATTATTTACCCCAGTATCCTTGAATCAGTTTACATTTAATAACTTACTATGCATAAATATTCATTGGCACAAGTCTAAATTTCAAGTTCAACCCTAGCGCATACACGCTCCTGCTCAAGGTCACTGACGCTTTAACTCTCACGTACAGAGAGTGTCACCGCTATGCTATAGTCGACGCTGTTGCTTTCTTTGCGATAACAATAGAATGAGAAGTAGTCACAAGTTCCGGAATCTTTAAGTACTGCTCAAATAAATTCCACCACAACTTCCATAAATGTTCCTAATAAAAATATTACTCTGTCCCTCCATAACTGGACAAATGTGTCCAATATCAATATTAACTTTTAACAAAATAAATGTTTTATTTATGTAGCCCTGGGTTTTTATTGCCTCGCAGTAGGTATGAACAGTAGAGTATGCACCTCTGGGATAAAGCCTGTCTTAGGTCACGGGCAGCATATTGACCCCTCGCTTCACTCAGGACTCTACATAACTCCTTCATTACGCTCGGGAGTTAACTCTAGAGTCCCTCGTTACGCTCAGGGTCCAATATGCTGCCCGTGACCTAAGACACTGCTTTATCCCCTTGGTGCATAATCTACTATTGACGTTTCTGAGTATGGGTACGGCCAGAGTGCACTCAGATTCAGATTCAGACTCAGAAAACAAGCGCGAGAAATATACAGTGTAGTTTAAGCAGGTTGCCTGCGGCCACTATGGCCACCCTGCTTTAACTACACTGTTTAGTAGTAGATTATGCACCAAGGGGATAAAGCAGTGTCTTAGGTCACGGGCAGCATATTGGACCCTGAGCGTAACGAGGGACTCTAGAGTTAACTCCCGAGCGTAATGAAGGAGTTATGTAGAGTCCTGAGTGAAGCGAGGGGTCAATATGCTGCCCGTGACGTAAGACAGGCTTTATCCCAGAGGTGCTAACTCTACTGTTCATACTAGTGTTGGGTAGGACGCAACTTGAAAAAGAGTTTGTAAGAGTAGCCTCTTTTTTGTACTGAGCCAGTACAATGTCCCACTTCAAATGAGGCGAGGCGTATTGAAGCTCGGCAATACATTTGAAGTGACGAGTACAAATATGACATTGAGGCATACAGAAGCTCGACATTACGTTTGTGTGCATGAGTAGCACCTGGAGCGTAAGTTCTGAACGCAACCCTGTATTACTATTTTATATTTGAAATAATCGTATCCTTAATTAAAATTGTCAGTATTATTAGTTAGTGTCGTAAGCATTTGAGCAAAAAAAAATACGTCAATGTTTTTGAACATATTCAAACAAACGAAACGGTAAATTACGTGAGTCCTCTACGCACAATCAATCTTGCTGGATCCAGCATGCAGGACAGCGCTAAACACGTAAAAGAGATAGAGATACAGATGGATAGTGCGTGGAGGACTTAAATGAAATGTCATGCCTCGCTCTCTCTCAGACTTACGAAGAGTGAGAGAGTAACGAGACGCGACTATCGCGACATTTAATGTGAAGTAGTACATTTTATAATTTTGAGCCGCTCTTACATTTTGACGTCATGTCCGGGACAAATGTACCGCCTCTTGTAAGTCCTACTCAACACTAGTTCATACCTACTCTACTACTGAATCTGAGTGCACTCTGGCCGTACCCTATGGCAGTAAAACATCATCGCATTCGCTTCATGCTAATGTTTTCCGAACATGGACACATTATGTGAGCGAGAAAGTGATTGTGTACACGCACTGACTATTTAAGTACTGAGAGACAATTTTACTACTGTATTTCTGATAATAATGTAACCCTATTTGAAAATACTAGGAAATGCAAGTCAAAAGATAAGTAGAAGATAGATAAGCTTTTCCCTTGTCTTGTCTTAACGACCGCATTCACAGAGAGGTTAATTAAGTTTAATACCTACTTGACAAAATGAAGTTTGTCTTGTTTAATTGATTTTTTAAGGAAAAAAACTGCATTTTTAGCATAATTTTAAAACAAAGTCTGCCCCTTTCCTACAAATCGCTGTTTTCGTTGTCTTCTTTTTAGCAAACAAAAGTTACAGCATCAGTTTACGTCCAGAGTTAACTTTGGACCGTGTTTTGTAGTAACGCCGCTCTATATTGCCTATTTGGTAATACTAAAGACCAAACTTTATCAAAACCAAAAGTTTTATTTTTACTAGTTCACTTTACATTTCGGAGAGTGTGCGCAGGTATTACATAATTTGATCCCCCCGTCCCCTTTCCACCAACGGGCGACCAGGCGCGGCGAGGGCTTTCACCCTTATGTTGTCGAAGTTCCTCCCATTCGCACGAAGCGATTTGCTTCCGCTTTCATTATGCGAACGGCTAGGGAGAGGAACTTCTAGCCGAGGTCTGTTTTCCCGGACCAATATAATCTGGACATCTTCAAGGCCAGAGTGAACAAGCATCTTCTAGGCAGGCGTGTACCATCCTAGACCTCATCATCGCTTTCCATCAAGCGAGATTGTGGTCAAACGCCTTGCCTATTAAACATTAAAAAAACTTTCCTGTTTAAAGTGCGATGTCACATAACCTCAAGTGCAGTACTCTCTCCTGGCTGACATCCTATCGGCAGGATCTCGAGCCGTCCGTGGTCCGAGCGATGAGTGAATCAACCAAACTTTCTAATAAGAGCCGCGAGAAAGCAGTGAGAAAGTGGGCCGCGAGGAAAACCCGGTGGAAACGTTACATGCACTATACGAAATTGCAATTGTTAAATGTTCTAAATGAAAATAAATAAATAAAATTGATAGGCTGAATGAGGGTCGAAGAATCCAGTAGGCCTATTAGCTAGCTGCTTTTGACAGAGGGAAATGATAATCACCGAGCTATTTACTGATACACTAATGCTTTATTATAACGCCACTAAGATACTTTTTCTGAAAAGCATCGATGGATATGTTAAACACTTTTAATGTCAAAGAAGTTGGCGAATAGGCCAGCAGGTCCGATAAAACCTTATTAAAAAGTAAAAACGCGGCCGAATAGTTTATTTAAAGTTGAAACTAAAATAATTAAGCAATTTATTTAAAATTGATGTGATCGTGAACAAAATACAAAAGCAAATACTTATTTCAATAAATGTACGAAAGAAATAAATACGAAATGCCTATAGATCGATAAGCATGGAGAATTCCATTGCTGTAGTTGCTACATTACAGATAAATTGGGTAAAACCACAGAACATTCTGTGTTCTGTGGATAAAACCCACCAGGAAACACATAAAGATCTTAAGAAACGCTGTTTGTGAAATCTATTTCGACTACTTATTTAATAAAAAGTTCGTGTTATAAATAATTCAGAAAAGTTTCATTAGATATTTTAAAACCATTTTATTAAATGCCAGTTAGCTAGTTAGAGAAATATCTATCTTTGAAAATCAACGTACCTATCTAGATAAAATACTTGTGACCAAATCGTTCTACGGAGATATTTAAAATTTTTATAATAACCACCTAAGGCAGCTCTTGCAACAAGTATTTATAAATATTTTCCAATAATGCCAAATAGTTATCTACAATTGCAACCAAGCCTGCAGAGCGCTCAAACAATTTCAGCTATTTGAAGTAAATCATTAGGTACCAGTTTATATTAAAGTAACTCTGGTCTATGTATTTATGAAATCTTGTAATATATTATTTCGTAAAAACTGATTTTTATATGGCACCAATGAAAACAAAGTTTTCCATTCCGATAATATTTGATTTAACAAGTCGTATATACGTTACTATGAATGTAGAGTCTATTTAAGTATTATGTTTGCGGAAACAGCATCAACGTACTATACTAGCGAAAGAACATAAAAGCATGCACCGCACAAAATATGAATTACGTAAGACTCACCTGCTTCTTCCATTTGGGCAGGTACTTCGCCGGCAAAACAGACGGGCTGACACAACATATTACCAAAAGTATTAACAGACTCCTCATCTTTCAGCACTGATCCATCCGCATCAGATCCGTGTCACCGAATGCTTTAAAAGTCGCGCACGTTAAATGCAATTATATGTTTTAACGGTAATATTATTCCTTTTTTTATAAATGTATAGAAATATTGGAGAGTATAAATGCAGCGCGTGCACACGACGACGCGGTTTACTGTTATATTGTGTTATTGAACTTGACTCTGATGGAGCAACTTTCGCCGCGGTCGCTTCTTGTATGGCCACTAAACAGCAGTTCCTTGGTGTGCCAAATAATACCAGTTTCCTCTGGTGCAACGATGATGAAGGCTAGTTTGAAAGTTTCAAATCGAATCTGAATCATAAAGTTTTGTTATTAAAGTGCAACAAAAGATTTTATATTTTAATTCAATACGTCGTGTTACTCTCATTGAAGAAAATAATACGAAGTGAACTCTATTTTATGAGACTTCGTGAGCAGCGCTCCAGGGTTCGAATCTTATTTGGGCATTTATTTTTGTAATGAGCATAATTATTTGTTCTCTGATGATAATGATGATGATGATTCTCTGCTTATATATCACTATAACATCCGATATTTAGAATGTAGGTGTACATGAACATAAGCAGTAGGTACGGGCATTTCTAGTTTTGGACTGTATAATGTATAATGAACTTTTCTTCTATTATATTGCAAGTTTTGATTGAAATATTACCAATTCTCTTTTCTTATAGTCGCACAACCTCGATCTCAATTCGTCGCTCTAAGGAATAGCATAATTAAAAAATCGCCTCTTCTATGGCCTATTTTATTCATAATAGACGTTTTGAACAGCTGTCCTTATTTTATTTGCAACAACTTTTCAATTCTTAGAATACCTATATGTAGAACATTATTCTGAACAACTCCCAGCTGTTAATAAAACATGCGTAATATTTTTCTATTTGTAATTTTAAGCAATGCTCTTGGCCTTCCGCCATGTAAGTACAGGTAATAGGCGATCTCCGAGGCAGTGTTGCCAACCCCATCATAGAGTAAAACTGTAGATATGCTTGAAAAAAAAACTGTTCGAATATCACTTTAAAAGACTGTAAATCCGAAATTTTAAGAAGAATTCTTTAATCCTAAATTTATTTCTTTATTCATAATCATCATCATCTTCCCATTGACGTCGCCACTCCTGGGGCACTGGCATTCCCTATGGATGGAACAGAAAGATTGGGCCATGAGCCCACCACGCGCGCCTAGTGCGGATTGGTGGGTGCTCATGACTACAGATGCAGCCGGGACCAACGGCTTGACGTGCCTTCCGAAGCACGGAGGAGCTCGAAATAGTAAATTTTTGGACACTCAACTCAACAAACTTCAAATATCGCAGCCGAACGCGCTAAACAATTGTGCCATCGACCTCCTTTTTTTCTTTATTCATATATAAATGAATATGTGGTATTGTAAATACTATTTTGGAAGGATGACGAGTTTATAGAGGATCGTATTGAAATAGAAAAATCTGGAAATACTGATGATCACTTCAATGTTAATAAAATAAGAGGATGATGAAAATACACAACAGAGTATTAATAAGCGGCCGGATTATAGCCCTTGCTTTAAAGAACCGGAGTTCTAATCCATACATGCTGTGGTTGATGAATGTTAAGCTAGCCACAGTTGCTTATAAAGACAATAAAGATAGTGTGAATAGACAAATGTGAACTAGCATACCTTTGTCGGAATAATACAAAAGGTACTTAGTATTATTTATGTAAATATAAATCTTTAAACACTAATCACAGATTCAAAGCTTCGGTAAAAAAAATGAATTCTGAACAACCAATAATTATGCACTGAATTTTTTCCAGTATCGTAATCAGTCATTTCCTCTATTAGTGGTGTTTCCGAGAAAACGTTATAAATTTAACAAAACTTATTAATCAACAACTTTGTTATCCTGAACAAAAAAATATATGTGTATTTCTCCGTTAATAATCTCAAGTCAGGAAGCAGTGTCGAGGACTGACCCCTCAGGTCACTTGTTTTGCATTTCAAAAATGAACGTTCTTTTATTTCTTGGATCTTAATACAAGGACACATTGTTTTCATCAGAGATAACGGAATACTCGGTAGACTGCCTGTCACCGACGATAAAGAGTACGGTTTTACTTTTTGTACTGACTCTTTACACATTCCTGTTAACCGCTGATTACATTTTGTGCAAGAACTTAAATGCTTTTTCATTCCATGTTCAAAAGTTGACCTTTCCCATTTCAAACAAAATCACAAACATCCATCGCATCGTACATCGCAAACGTACGTTTTTTTCAAGTTTTCATCTTTAGTCTTCTGATTAAATTTAAATTCGTTAATTACTTGGACACGGTATACATAGTTATAAGATTAACAAAAAGTCTACTTTTCTAGCGTGCCTTTATCATTATGTTTCGAACTATATTTATTATTACATACCTTTAAATGAGCATAGCTTCATTAGCATTTTGAGAAAACATATAAGCATGTGGTTCATTTATTCCTTCCTTATCAACACTGTGTGCATCCGAAGAAATAAAATTAGGTCCGACAAATGACTCGACCCCACCTGATGTTAAGTGAAGGTGAAGTCCAGACGCGAAGATAGCTGATACAGCAGTTCTACCTGCCACACCAGCCATCCTCACCCTGCCGGCCTGCATATTGCTTCTTCATCTACTACCTACTTTGATCAAGAGGATAGAAGCGGTTATTTAAGGTTGTAATATAAAAAATATAAAAAAAATCTATGTATTTTAAGTTACCGCTTAATATGTCTGGCCGCATTTATATTATCCCAATTAATTCTTTGCCCGCGCACGTGTTCCCTCCTTCCTACAATCTGGGGTCCTTTAAGAGAGGCGTGAAGAAGCATTTTTACAGGCCGGCAAAGTGAGGATGGTTGGTGAGCAGTTTATAACTGCTGTACCAGATATCTTCGCGTTTGGACTGTTATCACCACTTAACATCAGGTGGGGTAGAGTCATTTGCCTACCTGGCTATAAAAAAAAAGCTATCGTACACTAAGTTGAGGCGCAAATCAGCATGAATTGAAACTATAAAATACAAGGGGGAGGATGTTCTGCCTTTTTGTGCGACAGCACCCAATTTATTAAGAACTATGAAGAGAAAAATAGAAGAAAACAGGAAGCCCAAGGTTAACAAGTAAAGGGAAAGCTTGCGTGGAGTTGGAGAAGTTTAAAAATAAATATTTCTAACGCACACTAATTTAGCCTTTTTTTGTGTCTGGGAAATACCTTTATTATAATTATTAATCCCCGTTTTGTTGCAGGTCTTTATATTCTTTTTTGTTTTCCATTCTTTTGTTTCCCTTTTTTGTGCTTGTCTTTTTTTTATCTCTTATCTACAACATATTCTTTCTTATTATGAATATTTACATTTTCGTTTCTCTGTGTTCTTAAATTCTTATATCTATTTTACAATCATTTTTCTTGTTTATTTGTTTCCTATGAATTTTTACATATTTGCTTTTTTTTATATTTCTTATTTTTTACATTTTCGTTATACTTATTTTACAATTGAGGTGCTGTATTAGCTTCATTTACTAATTCTTATTTCTTTCTATTACATTCTTTACTATTTCCTGACTAAACTCTAGGAATAGTTTCCTTTCTTTCACATTTTCAAAGATTTTCCTTAATGTGTCCTTCCTGATTTATGTATCAATGCGTGTTTGTAGTGTGTGTCTTTGTGTTCCTGGGAAATGCCTTACGCATCCTTCAACCACTGGGGGAGCGAGAAGAAGGTATTTGGGACTCCTCCCTGTCCTCTTCAGCCAGCTCTGGAGCTCGCTTAAGTGAAGGGCAGGGCTCTACCTATGCCCTGAACAGGGCCACTAAAACCCAGACAATACTCCTGCACCGTCGTCACCCGACACGCAATTTGAGGACCACGGTCCCCCTAGTGCGCGCCGAGAGGGCGGGTGTGGTCGTGGCACCTAAGTAACCGATTTAAGGCTTGTGATATAGAAAATCGTATAACATATATGCATAAAAATATACACATATAATGTTACATAAATACGTTTGACGACCTCCGTGGCCGAGTGGTTTGTACGCCGGGTTTCATGGTGTCGCCGACTCTAGAGGTCCCGGGTTCGAATCCCGGTGGGGGCAGATGTTAGTGTGATGAATACGAGCATTTGTACTCCAGTCATAGATGTTTAATATGTATGTCTAAATAAAAATATACTTATATATGAACAGTATATGTATTCTATCCGTTACCCTAGTATCCCATAACACAAGCCTTACAGTGCTTACTTTGGGGCTGGGCTAATGGTGTGAGTGTTGGAAATATTTATTTATTTTATTATTTATTATAAAAGTTTTTTTAATCTACTGAATATAGGTACTTATTAAAGCTACTGTTATTGTCTGATCTATCAATGCACAGCTCAAACCACTGAACGGATTGCGCAAAAATTTGGCGCACTTATAGCTATTATGATGTAAGCGTACGTTAAGAAAGCATTTTCCAAAGCTCACCTCCTAAAAGAATACCACGGGCGTACAAAGTTTGTATGGAGAACCAAGATTGTGAGGTTAATCCTTTAACTAAAAAGCTTATCTAATCCGAGCCAAGCCGCGGGAAAAAGCCAGTACATGAATAAACAACCAGGGGGCCAATCGCCTAACGGAAATGCTTTGGACAACGCTAACGCTTACGATTTTATTTTGTTATTTCTAGCCGCCTGAGGTATTCAAATGCCTCGCGCTCTTTCTTTTTCTTTTGCATTGGTAATAACAATATTAAAAAAAATGAACGTGAGGTATTCGAAAACTTCAGGCGGCTAGAACTAACAATATAAAATCGTAAGCGTTAGCGTTTCCCAAAGCATTTCCGATAGGCGATTGGCCCCCAGGTTTGGAATCCAGGATCTCTTACTTGGCGACACCATGAACACCGGTATACCCATAACTGCTAGTGGTGTGTACGGGCACGTATGGGTGAATGAGTGATTTACACCTCGGAGCAGTGTAGCCAACCCTACAGTTTTAACTGTAGTACTACATTTTTTTGGAAATTATCTCATTTTGGGCCTCGAAATCCAGTTTTTTATTTAAGAAGCTGGAGCCATCGTATTTGTTGTATAGCCGTACAAGAGTACGAGTTTTTAAAAAAAATGTGAAAATTATATCTACTTTGAGCTTCTTCTTCATCTTCTTGCTACGGGCGTTTCCGCAACTCGACGTCCTTATGGCGCCTGTTT